AAAAAGAGTGTAGGCCCTAAAAATAAATGGAGACGTGTGCTAGAGGCAGACACACAAAGTATGGGATGCACCTAGAAGCAACTGGGAAAGGAAAGCACAGGACAGAAATAAATGGAAAAAGTATTGTAGACGGCCTATGCCCAAGGCGGTGTAAAAGGCATAAGTAGGTAAGATGAATCTTGAGCGGTAGAGGAGACTGGGGAGCCTTCTCCCCAGATTCTTTTTTTTTATTCTTTCAAAATCGAGAGGTGCGTTTTGGAGTACAGTTAAATAGAATGTTTCTATTAGAATTTTTGATCATGGGGGAAAAAAATGTAAGTGTCTGAGGAGGCATTTTGATGCTAGTGTCATTCATAAACTGAATTCACCCCGGTTGTGAATTGCCCCAGGGTAATCATTTGGTACAAGCTTATATTCACATTCTTGCTGTGATACTGATTAGAGTCATCATGGAATGGGGTGCATAAATTGAGGGTGCTGATGACAGTCGCACAAAATCAAAATGCAGGAGTGTATTTTTGGTGCATACTTAAATTCTGTCTTTCTATTCAGATAATTTTGAGGTTACATTTCAAACTTTCGTGTGTGAAGCGGAAAATTTATTCATAACAAATCATCAAAGACATCTTTAACACCACATCAGAAGGGGGGGGGGACTAAATTCATTCCAGATGGGGCGCCCTTGAGGTACCCGAATGCATTTTCCCTAGCGTATCCTCGCCTCTTACATTTGTATATAAGTCCCAAGAAAATGTTTGATAAATTCAAAATACAAGAATGCATTGCATTAAATATTGTAATGTAGTTTTGCAAAATTCTACACTTAATTTGGAGAGCAATGGAAGATATGCCAATTTTTTTAAATGTCACTTAACCATAGAAACATCGCGTTAGCCCCTACGAGCGCAGTGGGCCTCTAAACATCTCAAAATTTTACCAGAGTCAAAAAGAAAAAAAAAATGTTGAGGAGAAAGCTCTATATAATTGTATGGGCTGTCAAAACAGGCCATTTTCATAAATTGTATATGAATGTTATATTTATGTAAATAAAACATGATTTGACCACAAAATAACATTATATATTTATTAATGTCTGACTTTATCTGAAGGAAATCTTATAAAAAGGAAGTATAAATTCCCCAATAATCAGTTGATTGAAATAATTATTTGGAATTTTAAAGTGCTATAACTTTTTTCAGATTAAATTACAAATCGCCTCTTACATATACTTAAAAACATTTTTTTAAAACCAAATCCACAGAATTTATTTTAAACTAAATAAATAATGAATACGATTCTTTCTAAAACTAATACCAACTAATGTTTTTATAGAATTGGCATAATAATCAAAATGCTAGTTCACATAAATCTAACAAAAAAAAAAAAAAAAAAAAATTTAAAAAAAATTTCCCATTTTTTATTTTTAGAAAAAAATGAAATAAAA